AAACCCCCCCCCCCCCAATCCAATTTAATTAAACCCAAGCCCAATTTAAATCAAACCTAACCCAATTAAATCCAACCCGACCCAGACCCCTTCTAATCCTGGTCGTTGATCTCTAAGATCAATGGCCCCCATTCCCTCTTTCCCTTTTTTTATTCTAAACGACCCCTCTAACCCTAGCCATTTGTTATAACCGCCGCCTTTGAATCCCGCATCTCCTCTCTTCTCTCTTCTCTCTGAGACTAACCCTAACCCTAAGCGTCGTCACCTAAATCTACCCCAAATCCCTTCGATTCCTACATATTCCATGAGATTCCCTGGTGATTTGAGGCCTCTAACGGCCTCTTACCTCTTCTGGTTGTTCGATTTTGTTGTTTCATGAAGGGATCTTAGAGAGATCCAACCCAAAATTTGTTCAAAAACCGTTAAGGGTTTCCTATGGTCATCTCCGTCTGTGAGTACTATTATCTTGTGTTTATGGCTCGAATCTTTGGTTCAAAACCGGATTTCCTTTCATCTCTGTCACTTTCTCAAAACCCTCATCTCTTACACTTTGAATCTGCTCAGATCCTTGTAGATCTGAAACGTTTTTGAGTTTATATGCTATTTTTCTTTAAAAAATTTCTGTTCTCTTTATCATTGAGTGATTTTTATGTTTCTCTAAATTAGGGGTTTTGATTCTTTATTATTTGCTGAAGATTTGAAGTGGTTGCGAGTTCTATAACATTTTCTTTAAAGGTTTTCTGCTTTCCTTACCGTTAATCGATTCTAAATTTTTCTCTAAAACTAGGTTTTCACTTCTTCTTGTTTCTGCAAAAACTTTTCTAAGAGTTTCCAAGTATTTGAAGTTGGTTATCTTTACTCTTATGTTTTAGTCCTTGTTTGTTCATTTGTCTCACTGTCCGCTTTATTTTCTTCGTTATTGTTTATTTCTGTCAATCAAAATGGATTGATTGATTTACTTAGGGCTCGAATCATATTTTCCCGTTAAAATTAGTACTTCCCCGTGATTTTACCTATTTTCCTCATTTATAATTTTAATTGGTACTACTTGCCTTATTTAGATTAATTAGTCTAATCTATGGTCTTTAGACTTATTGCTTACCTTATTTAACTTCAATCATGCCTGCTGACTGGTTTTGTATGAGATTCTCCCTAATTTAAGTAATATTAATTGATTAGTTTTAGCCCTAATTGACTGGTTAATTGATTTACATATTTTATTTATGTGTTGTTAATTTTCCTTGCCTTATTCGCTTACTCTGCTCAATGCTATATAAGTTTCATTCTTTTCTTTAACACACACGAACATAGTTCAACACACACACACGAACATAGTTCAACACACACACAGAGACATAGAAAATATACAAAGTTCTTGCTCTCTTCCTTTATCACAATCTTCTACTCTTTGATGTTACATCGTCAAGTCGGCTGGGAGCCAAGGCTAGACCTTCAGACCCTATTTGCTTCACTCTCCTATTGCTATCTCTTAACTGGTATGCTTTCACTACTGCCATTCAATTAAACCAATGTGTGTTTCCTTATAATAAGCATGTATTTCTTCTGAACCTATATTTTTCTCTGCTCGGCATGTCTACTACTATTCGATTTAACTGTATGCCTTGTTATCAACATGTTTACTGCTATTCAATTAAACTATATGTTTCTTGCTATTCAATTGAACTATGTGTTTACTGCAATAACATGTCTACTTCTGTTTAACCTATGTGTTTACTACAATAGCATGTCTACTTCTGTTTGGTTAAACCTATGAGTATTCTGCTTTCAACCTGTTTACTTTTGTTTCTGCTAGACCTATGTGCTTCTGCTTTCAGCAAGTCTGCATACCTGTTCATATCTAAGTTAGACCTATGCTTGTTTTAGCATGTCTTTCTATCATGTTCACAGACTCCCGACCAATATGGCTCCCAATCCCTACTACCCCTTTGAATGTTACTGTCTGATTGATCCTAACTTACCATATTTTTGCTTAGTGTTTGCTCACCTAGTAACAGTTAATAAACTAAGTTGAAACTCTAAGTGATCCTATTCATGTATATTTTTTGATTGCTGGGACCCTTATTTGAGTCACTAGAATTGAATGACCCTGTTTGCTCCTTACTTCCTGAGAATCCAAAACTATTTTCTTAAAAAACTATCCCCTGTTTTCAACTCCTATTCTTAGAACACCTAGGGTCCTACCCCGCCAGTGTGAGCATTGCCTAGGAGTCCATGAGACTCCTCTGAACTTTGACATACTGGGGTTGGCTTTCCTAACTTGCTCACAAAAGGGTTGCTTTGGAAGTTTTTTGGTGTGAGCATTGCCCAGGGTCCCTGAGAACCTTGGGAACGTTGACACACCAGGATACCATTGGGTGCACTATGAGGTTATTGGCATATTCATACTTGGTTGAAGGCCTGACTTTTCAGGTTTACTGTTTGGGCCTATTTAGGCTCCCTATAGTTGTAGCAGTTTCACTTCTGTAATTCATTATTTATGTTTGTTTGTAATAATAATTTCTATAAACAGATATTGGGATACTAGTAAAACTGGGAGGGGTACTTATACATATCTTGTTGGGAAAAGGGTAGATACCATGCCTATAGGTTATTGCAATGTCTGTTTAGTTAGATACCACGCATATAAGTTGTTGCAATGTCAATTTATTTAGATACCATGCCTATAGGTTATTGCAATGTTTGTTTATTCAGATACCATACCTATAGGGTTTAAAATCAATCATGCATTCTAGATAACATACCTGTAAGTTTGATGCGTTGTTTGTTTGTTTATGTACATTCAGATACCCTGCCTGCATTCTAGATACCATACCCATAAGGTTTAAAATCAATCATGCATTCTAGATAACATACCTGTAAGTTTGATGCGTTGTTTGTTTGTTTATGTACATTCAGATACCCTGCCTGCATTCTAGATACCATACCCATAAGGTTTAAAATCAATCTTGCATTTTAGACACCATGCCTGTAAGTTTAAAAATCAGTCTCTTCATACTAACAAAATTTAAATCAGTTTTCTACATGTCAATAAGGTTTTAAAACTAGTTGCTGCCTTTAGATGTCATGTATATAGGATTTTAAAACCAATTTTTGCATTTAGCTATCATTGTCTATAAGTCTAAAATCGGTCTCTACACCTAGACAACATGCCTATAGGATCTAATGAACCAAAACTGCATGCTTAAAATTATTTACCGGGTTATTGCACTTCTGATTAATGATTAAATACCATGTTCATAGGACATCATTGATACACGCCTAGGCAAGCCTGTAGGGCTATTGAAATCCTGCAGACTGTAAAACTATGCTTTTGTTATTTGTCTATATTCAACATGCCCTAAAATCAGTAGGCAAACTGATTAGGTCCCCTATTTCCCTGTTTTAACACAGTGTTGCATATATTCTATTCGTCATGCTCACCTAGATATCTTGCTCTAGGGTCCTTTGAAATATCTAAAATCTTGTTGTTTGAGACGTGCTATTAACTGCTTGTGTGAGAAGGTAAAAGTGAGCCTTTAATTGCTCCTTATGTGAATGTCCTATTTGTTTTTGCTTGTCGCTTAGATTTTCTCCTTTTAAACACTTTAGGAGAGTCTAAAACTGCCTTAATTAGAGGTCCTAAATACCTCCAGGGCCATAAGGAAAGGACAGGTAATGCACGCATAGAGTACATTAATTAGAATCGCTTATATAACCACTAAGGGGAGGATAATCGGGTAGTAAAGGATATGATGACATGTGCGCTAATGCTATGTGTAGCACCCCAACTTGGGGACGATTATCAAGCATTATACAGAAGTGGTCCTGTAGGCTAAAAAACTTAGAACCCCCGTTTACTCCTTGTTTTATATATATATATATATATATATCAATTTGTCTAAATTGCTTTATCTGTTTATAAGACTAATTCACATAATTTGAGTTCGGTTGGGACCCACCGTTGTGGACCGCGAGGGGTACCTAACACCTTCCCCTCAAGGTTATTTCGAGCCCTTACCCAATCTCTGGTAATGCAAACTGGTTTTTATGAGTTATTTGCTTTAGGTGCCCTAACGCATCTTAAATCCGTTAGGTGGAGACTCTTCAAATTCTGTATCCAATTCCCAAAAGAAAATGAGTTGTTCCCAATGAATGTCGAAACCCGGACTTCGAGAGAAAAAAAGGGGCGCGACACTGTTGTTACTCTCTTCCAAGGGCTTTTCTGATACTGAGGTCTCATAGCAATGTAAAGCTGCTTGATGCTGAACTTCCCTTGCCTATATTATGTGCTCAGATCAGCATTTGAATGCTTTTCAATGAACCAGTTCTTGATATCAAAAATCTTCCTAACAAGCCAACATACCTGCTTAGGAGTATTCATTGTCATGGCATTTTGCTCTTTAATGTAGAAGCTATGGATCCATTGAATCCACAAGGTATCCTTCTTTGCACTAACTGCCCATAACAGTTTGTACAAGGCAGCCTTGTTCCATATATGTATATCCAGGACATTTAGTCCTCCTACCGAGAATGGCATGCAAAATTTGTCCATGCAATTAAGGCTCTCCTAGATGCTTCACCACTTCCTGTCCATAGGAATGTTCTGCATGCTGTAACTATTAGCTTAATAATCTTCTTGGGCAATAGAAACATTTGTGCCCTCTTAATTAGTTGAAACTTTCCACCGTATGAGAGGAACTTGGCAGTCCAACAGTTAATCCGGATAGTGATCTTCTCAATCAATGGCATACATTGTTGAACAGTCAATTTCTTTGAAGACAATGGTACTCTAAGATATTTAAATGGTAGCTCCCTTGCTGTGAACTGCATCTCTTATAAGATCATTTTTTTGAACTCCCTTGTGACACCAACAATGTATAGAGCACTCTTCTCCATATTAGCCTTAAGGCCCGACACCTTAGAGAAATGATATCCGTCCAATAGAAATTTGATAGAAACCTTATCTGCTCTACAACATAGAATCAAATCATCAGCAAAGCATATGTGGGTGATGTTATTTCTGGCCCATCTTGGATGGTAATTAAAGTTTGGATTGACCTTTAAATTCTTCAAAGCCATGTTTAGGTACTCCATCACCAATACAAACAGATAAGGAGACATTGAATTTCCTTGTCTTAACCCCTTCTTTCCTTGGAATTTAGCTGTCACGTCTCCATTTAGTAGCAAGGAATAGCTAACAGTGGTCACACATTCCATTATCAACTGCACAAACTTAACATGCATTCCAAACTCTAGCAGTGTCATCTTTAAAAAAGGCCATTCAGCTGAGTCATACGCTAAGCTTATCACTTTTATCTTTTAGTAATCACTTATTTGTTATCATTTTATATGATATGATTACTATTTAGAAAATAAACTTCTATAAATGTTTTTGCTTATAAAGACTTGTGAGTTATAGTCAACTTCTTGAAATATTTGTAATCTACCAAGTAAAACTATTTTTGTAAGTATTTCACGAATACAAAACTCGACACTAGATATTTGTTAATGTGCTCGCTTTCCTTTCTAAAACTTTGTAAGTATACTAAATTGTAAGTTTTCACATACTAAAATGACAAAATGTAGTATGAAAATGCATGTCAAAGACTACTTCCTTTTTCCAGTTCACCCATGTAGGTTTTTGCTATCGGGTTAGGATTTATTGATTGTGAGAAATGAGAATACAAGGACACAAAGGGGAAGGCATGCATATCACCTTAATTACCTCCAAATATATCTTAAAAGATAAAAATTGAAAAACTCACTACATTTAAATAACATTTCACAGTTAAGTTAAGTGATGAACCTTTTAATTCTGATTATGTAATCTCCAGATTCTGATGTGAAAGGACAATTTTTTTTCTCGCAGTGAAGAAACACTACAAAAAAATGGAATTAGCTACGAACTTCGTCGCTAATCTGTAGATAAATCGCTCGTAGCTAGCATAATTTCTTGATAATGTGTTGTTAATTTGTTGCTAAATAAAATTAGCGACGGATTTTTCTGTTTAGCTACAATATTTGTCCGTCACTAAAACCTGATTTTTTAGTAGTGAAAATAAAAGTACTTCATCTATATCACTTTTATTTTTCGAGATTCAAACTACATGGCTTTGACTAATATTTTAAAATATATATTTTTAATTATATTAACATATGAAATTATAACTAATAGTATTTTTCGTATAGTTTTTGCATATTTAAATTCTAAAATATTATGTTGATCTAATTAATTTAACTTTTAAAATTAAAGTCAAAAGTGACACTTTGGGATGGAGGGAGCAACAAATACTCACATAGTATTTATATTTATATACTAAATTAAATTCACAAAAACACTTAACGAAATATCGTTTGCCTTTTTTACCCTTTAAAATAACTTTTACAAGTGACAAAATTACAATTTAAGTTAGTTTCCTAATAATTAAAACTTTGAAATCAATTAAAATTTGCATATTAATTTTTTTTTCTTATTAAAATAGGTAAAAATTATAATATTTAAAAATTTAAAATCTATAATATTTTATCTTATATAGATCATACTAAATGAAAATTTCAAAATACATCACTTGTACAATACTTATCAAATTAAAACGAAAAAAATTATTTGATACCATATCTAATCATACTAAACCGTACAAGCCTAAATTTATATTATAAAAGCACGGAGCCTCTAGACAGAATGCTAATTGAATTTTTTTTATCCTTTTAAAATAATTGTTTATTGAATAAAAATATAGTGAAAATATTTTACTAACATTTAAGATTTAAATATTAGTTAAAACTTTTACTTATTAAATATTTTCTTATTTGAACTATATAGGAAGTCCAAATATTTAGGTTTTAAAATGGATTATACATAAAAAAAACATCTACTTTAACATACACCTACTTAGTGAATTCAACAACTTTTTCGTCCTATTAAATTTTCATGTTCTAGTAATATTTTCGTTGCTCGCGCACATTTTGTGACAAAGTTATGTAAATCATATATATATATATATATATATAATATAAATTTTAATAACTAAAACCTCACTATATCGGTAACAATAAAACCATTGAAAGGAGATAAACTGAGAAGACATCTGATTCATTTTTTTTTTACTTTATGTTATTTGATACTTTTTTAAAGAATCTTAATAAACGATTCAGTGCTTTAGAAAAAAATTTAAATTTTAAATCTTCCATCTTCAAGGGCTATGTGTTTTTACTTATCTATCTATATCTATCTATCTATCTATACTATATTAAAAGTACGAAGGCCCTTAGCGAAATGTCGTTCGCCTTTGTTACCCTTTAAAAAAAGATTTTTCATTGGGTAAATTTGTAATTTTAAGTTGCTTTCCTAAATTTTAGGACTTTAAAATCAACTAAAACTTGTTTTATTAAATCTTTCCTTATTAAACTAGATAGCAAATCCTAATATTTAGCACTTTAAATTATTAACCTTTTTACCTTATATGAATATCCTTATTTGACGTCTATTAATATTAACGCTTTAAGACTTTATATGAATGTCCTTATTTGATGCTATTAATATTAAAGCTTTAAAACTATATTAAACTATACGATTTTCTTATTATTCAAAACTTTAGAAATTATGCATAATATTTTCTAGAAGTAAAAAAGCACAATAATTCTAGAAGCACAAAAACGAATCAAAATTGACATACTAATGAACAATGATTTCGGAAGCACTAAAACAAATCAAAATTGACATACTAATGGTTTTTAACTATTTGAAATAAAAAATTCTATTCAGCAAAGTTCTAATTATAGTTAAATTTTAAAATTGGGATTAACTAATATTAAGAATTTGATAATAAAAGTTAATTTATTTTCTTTAATGTCGAAAATAAATAA